ATCAGCCAAACTCTAATATCTTCAAGAAGATCTATAAGTAGCATACAACAGCTATTCGACACCATGACATTAAAAGACTCTGAAAGTGCATTACTTATTGATCCTCATCTCTTACTAGGAAAGTGAGCAATAGCATAGTTCTCTTTAGGTAAATTAGCTAAAAAATTATTCACATGCCCTTTCCCATTATCCATAAATTCAGCAATGCAATCATCAAAATCAGATGCAGCGCATGCATAAGCACAATTTACTAAAAGATTCATCATCTTCTTCTTTAGTCCCTCACCAGCACCATTTGGAAATAAACTACTAACATTCTGTTTTAAATGAACAATACAGTATGAATGTAGAGATTCAGGGAAAACTTCAGGAATGCACCTTAAAATACCGTCATGTCTATCTGATATAAATGTGATCACCTTCTCTTAAGGCCCCAATATATGAGATAATATTGACAAAAATTATCTCCAATTTGCTATTGTTTCTGAATCAATAATAGCATAAGGAACCTCGAAAATCTTTGCAAAAACAGAAAATGAATAAAATACTGTCAAGTGTAAATTGCTTTTGTAACTGTTTTTGTTATTGTCATTGAACTATTTCTGTAACCTAAAATATGATACAACTGTTTATGAAACTTTTTTGTACTTTTGTTTACATAAAACATATAACATCAAATATAAAGTCAGACTATTAACTCACCATCATTGCTATTTTTTTCACAGTAGGATAGTAGTGTGCCCTTATATTTGTTCTTGATGAAAGTACCTCAATGAATAACATTGAGCGACAAAACATGAATCCTTTAATCCATGCATCGTAAGCGATGAACAATCAAAGAAACTTGTTGGACTCTAGTACAACTTCAAGCTTAAATACAGATCTAGGATTGCTTGCAAGGGTAAATTCTATATACCAAGGCAACAACTTGTAAGAATCAACATCGTCGCCGTTTAGCTCAAAAATTACCTTCTATTTACCGAAGTATGCAGTAGAATAATCAATGTCTAGTTCGTAAAACTGTTTTAGGTTTGAAATAATTTCCTTCTATTTGATAAGTGGATTTAACTGAACCTTATCCTTAATGAGAAAAGAAACAAACTTCCGACCAACAACTTTGTTTTTCTTCTTTCGAATCATTCCCTTTCATGTATGCACATTGTGCAATTTCTGAAAAACAAAAAAATCATTAATCGAACACTTAGTTGCATATACACGTCAAAGATAACCGTTAGATTCTTTCCTAGAACACTTAGCGCTAATCCGACTCTTATCATTCTTCAAATATTTCAACTCAAACCCACACTCAACAGAGAACTTCAACTTATCACGAAAATCGGCACAACTTCCTCTAAAAACTTGATCCACGGATTCAATATAGCTTTCCCATTTAGAAGACATGTAGCTATGAATACCATGAGAACCATACTTCACTTAATGATAATTTTCACTAACAAGTGTCGTAGAATCTGATGTATAACATGAAAAAGATACACTGTCCGTATGTAACTCAACTAGAGCACCTGCACATTTATCAAAAACCAATATTTATACCAAAGGTTTTCCAACAACACCAAGAACTAACAACATGTTCTTATCATCGACACACAATCCAATAGACAAGTAGAAACTTCACTCAAATAATATATCAACTCAAAGCACCTTGGTCTTAAACCTTTAAACCTAGAGCAAAGATCAACACATATATGATTGAATGTATACGTTGATGAAATAGAACTAATGAAGGATAAACCACCATAAGTAAACAGAGCTAGTTTATCATTCTCCGTAACTATGGAACACAAAAGAAAACAAAAACAGAATCAATACACAATATTAAATAAACATATATAACAATAACCTACAACAAAATGTAAAGACTACAAAACAACAAACACTGTCTTTGAAAATGAACAAAAAGATAACACTGTTTCTGAAAAACTAAACCAACAACTAACACTATTTTTGAAAAATAAACAAAAAAACTAACATTATCTCTGAAAAACTAAACCAATAGCTAACACTATCTACTGTCACTATAAAACAGGCCACAGTGGACGAACACTTGAATAGAAGTTATAGCTCTCACTGCTCGTGTTTGGTAAAGATGTCGAAGAGATCATCATTCGGGGCCTCAGAAATCCAAGGTGAAGACGAAGGCGATGATCACGATGATGAAGAGATTCTGATGGGGAAATTTGGAAAAATAACCAAAATATAGACCCCCGTATAGAATTATAACCACCCTTTGAAGTTTATGATAATTATAACCAAAATTTGATATGAAAGTACTAATATACCCTAATTAGTGAAAAGTTATAAACTTCCTCATGTTCTTAACCGTGAAAAAACGAGAACAACCAATAGCTATTTGCACTAGCTCACCCCTTCCTAGAAAGCTGGTTACCAACAAGATCAATGAACGCTTTAAATGCTGATAACTAGAGTTGGAGCCCATTTAGTAAACTTTTGAACCTTAGCAGCAACTTCTGCCTTTGTGAACTCCTCTCCATTGCTGGAGGCGCTATTCAACCTATCAAAAACAAAATGGGTAACCAATAAATCAAATGGCACACCAATTTACCGCATATTTCATAAATCCTTCATCGAAGTTAATGAAGAGAGCACAGAACAGCAGCTGTAACGGTAGATGTTGTTTCTTTGTGAATCACGCATGGCAAAATAAACCAATAAACTTGCTTAAGATTGTTGAAAAATAAGATATAATTGCTACATTAATCATATATAAAATTAAATAATAATTCATGCAACTAAATGCCAAATTTAATGCATACTCTAATATCTAATGCACTATATGTATGATTATGTGTATGATGGAAAGTAATTCATCATTAAAAGGGGACTTGCCTATTTATAAAAGTAGGACAATCAATGAACAAGAAAAAGAAAATCTGAAAAGAAAAAAAAAACGAAATTTGGTGAAAAGAATGCTTAAACATAAACGACAATCAATGCTTAAATTTAAAGGAAAACTAATAAAAATGGCTTGAAAACTTTGAATTTTAATGATAAGGACAAAATAAAGGGTAAAGTGAATAGTACCAGGATTGACTTTTTAGTGTAAAAATGTGGTTTTTCGTTAAAATGAACAGTACCGGGTGCTTTTTGTTAAAGTTCTCTAAATTTAAATCTATGGATTATAGTGACAAATTTCGGAGTTGACCTCTTCACAAAAGGGCAAGCTTTGAGTCATCATTGGCAAGGTTCTGACTTTTAAGAAAGGCTCCACATCCTTGGAAGAAAAAAAAAAAATCTCCCTTCATTTTGCATATCCTTGAACATTTAATATTTTATGGTAATGTAATAATGTTTTTTCTTTAGGCTTGGGGTATGTAATACTTGAAAGGCAAATGTGTTTTTATGTTTCGAAGTAATATTATTTGATAATGTGGTATGTAGATGCTAATTTAGTATTATTTTTTTCATTTGATTATTTATTGATTTAAAATATTATTTTTAAACATGTAATGGGTCAGGTCATTATACTTATTAATATTAACGGGTTGATTACGAGCCAGGTCATATTACAAGTTTATTTAACGGGTATTACACGACATGAATATGAACGACACAAAATGTCAGGCCTAGTATTTATCCTCCTTTTCTATTTCCCCATTCAATTTGTTTTCTTTTTTTTCTTTTTTAATGCTTTTTGGTCACCCAATTTTTAAATTTTCGAATTTTAATTATTGAGTCATCGACAATGTATTAAAAGGCGAAGGCGTACACCCCGCCTAGGCGTGAGGTGTGAGGCACGGTACCTAAATTATATATATATATATATATATATATATATATATATATATTATATAATTATATTTATATAATATAATACTTTGTAAAATAAATATAATTATAACTAAACCAAAATAATATCATCTTCTTCATTATTAAGTCTAGTTGTACTCAGAAACTATATCATAAAGTCTTGAATGTTGTAATTATTTATTTTATTGTAAGCAATTATAAAGAAGATTAACAGAAATAAGGTTGAGTGGCTATAATTATAGGGGATTTCAAGGAAAATAAATGTTGAATATCACAATTACAGGGAAATTCAAAATGAAATAAAGGTTGAGTGGAGAAATTATAGGGAATTTAAAATGAAATAAAGGCTTAGTAGAGTAATTATAGGGAATTTACTATGATCTGGTGATATTCCTTTTCACTTGGAAGTGAGAGGTCTTAAGTTCGAATTTCGTGGATAGCGAATTCGATACCAAATTAGGCTACCCATTTTGTGGCTTAGTCAAACTCCCATTCCCCTTAATGTAAAAATATCGATGTATTAAAAAAAGGAAATAAAGACTTAGTGAAGTAATTATTATAGGGAATTTAAAAAATAAAAAATAAAGAAAGTTAGAGTTAGACTTTGTCACGTAGGATTTGGAGAGAGAAACTCTCTTTCTTCTTCGTTTAAACTAGAACAATCTCCTGCATTTTAGAAATAGACATGAATTTTGAAAGGAAAAGCGCCCAAGTTGAACATATGGGAGCACCTCAACCGCCTAGGTGTGCCCCGATGCTGCCCTACACCCACCCCCACAAAACATAGGCGAAAATCCAACCGCTTAGGCATGTCCTGAGATGAGTTTTTTAAAACACTGGTCATCGATTTAATTAATTTTTGAATTTAGGTTTTTGCTGGTTGTGGCAACGGTGAGGATCACAACACCGGCCCGGCGAGTGGCGCTGATGGCTTTCTCATCCTTCTTGGCAGCGGTGCTGGGTTCCTTCTTCTTGATGACAATGTGCTCCCAATCCTGTGCTAAGTGTGTGATTTCAGGTATATTTTACACTTTGATATGGAATTTGACAAAGAAAATTTTGGTGCAGGACAACGGGACTAATTAGAGAGAAAAAATGGTGCAGGATAACGGGACTAATTAGAGGTTATTTTAGGACTAATAGTGGACGGAGAAATAGCATTTTAATTTTTTAACTTTAGTGATGGGTGAGATTATGATGTGAGTAGGAAATAGAACAATGCGGTGGGTCCAATAACATTCAATTATTAATAATAGCAGTTACAAAAAAGAATTTAAGGGGGAAAATACAATACAATACAATACAAGGAAAAGCAAAGATCAAATTGACATCAGAAATCATAACTTGAACTCACAAAAGCAATCCGGCAAAGCAGATCCTTTCCCCATGACAAAATCATCTCTGTGGGCCTTCCATAGAGCTTCCGTCAATTCCTTCCCGCTCAAACCTTGAGAAGTGAACTCTGCAAAAGCTCTTCTGCTTAAGAAAAGCGTCTTGTACATGCCCTTAAAAGCTCGCATTGCTGCAACCATCTTATCCATATTTCCGAAATATGTTGCTATATATGAATCGCTATTAATCGACACGTAGTAATCCAAAGCTGCTTTCGTGTTCCCATGCATGCTTTTGAAATCCTCACCGCTAAGAAGGCTAGACTTGGTAACTACATTTGTGTATACAGACGTTAACCCTTCAATTTCCATCAGACCGTCCCCAGCTGCCAGATAAATATTTGTGTTCGTTGGGATGGATAGCGCTTGGAGTATGAAGGCTGTCTCATTAGGCGTAAGAGGACATTTCCCTCGTTTCCTCCAAATCTGGGCAAGCTCTCCAGTCCATGGTTTTCTATCTCCTCGGGCTGCCTCAATGGCTTCAATGGACGAAGGAGAAAGGTATGGATATTCACATTGACTGTAAGCTACCATATCAGGCTCGAAACGAAGGTGAAGTGAGAGGAAAGGTTTGGGTATGGCTTCAAGAAGCTCGGAGGCCTTCTTCTCCAAGGATTTAGTGAGGCGTAATGCACTGTAGCAAGCTTGACAAAGTGAAACTTTTGCATACTGAGGATACCTACACAAGGAGAAGACATCTTAAGTATTAGCAAACTGTAAGATCAAAATGCCAACTTTGTAGTTTTTAGTCATCAAACGTCAAAGACTTGTTTACACAGTCAAAACCAAAAAAATATAATAATAAGGGCTTGTTTGGTCAGGACCCAGAAATAACTTTTCGTTCTTAAGAAAAAAGATACAAGAAATCTACACAATAGTGTTGGCAGACTGAATCTAAAAAAGATTTCCTCATGCAATCCTGAAAACATAATAAAGACATTTTCTATAAGATCGTACCAAAGAACTTAAACACCAACATCAAATACAAAGTCCCGTCCCCAAACATTGAACCTGGGGCCGATCCCTTATGGCACACATGGACACCAGAATTGAACTATGGCCCCCAAACACCAAGACACTGGGCAAGATGATGCACTATAGACCTGAGGCCTGAGGCCCAGACTCTGGATTTCGTTCCCGAGCCACAGAAAACTCAGTTAGGCCCGGAATCTCAGATTCCAGACCAGAGACAACAGAACTCTGCCCGAGCTCCAAGGGCAGAGCCGAAACTAAACAATTTAGTACATCTATATCCAACAATGTGTATATTAACACCCTCCAAAATTAACCGACATCTAACCCTGAGACCTCAACTCCAAGCTCCCACCCCTGTGACACGTCCTACCTCAGCGCTCAGTCCTCCAGGTCCAAATTTGGACCCGTTCTTCGAGCCCCACAAACCAAAGCTAGTTCCATGCTATGTGGGACTCTAGACCTAGTCCTCGAACCCCAGATGCAAACTTCAGCACTAGACTTAAAACCCGAGTTGCAAACTACTGTCTGAAACAGCCACAAACTGAGTCTTCAGTCAAAGTCTTTGGACCCAGGCCTTGAATCTCAAACGTTTGACCTTGGACCCGGCACCAAATTCTATGCCTCAAGCTCCAAGGCTCAGCCCTATGGTTGAAGCTCATAACAACTACAATTTATAGTTTTGAAATCCCAAAAAATATTTTTTTATGCAATACAAAACTTGTTTCTAGATGTTAAAAATCAAGATTTCTGGACCACGTCTTAGTTTTTGAAACTTTTATTTCTGATCATGAACCAAATAAGCTCAAACAAATTCACATAACTAATCAACATTTAATTCCAAATCTTGAACGGCAAGATACTAAACAAGAAATATTTATCAACAAAACCTAATTTTCTAATTTTCTAACCCCTAAGGTTAACAAACTAAGCTAGACTTGGTAAACTTTTATACCTTCATGACAAGCTTTTGGCCAACTATGCCTTCACCAAAAGGGTGGTAGATATTCACAGTAATAAGTACTCAATTGTAATCCCAAACTCCCAGAGAGAATAAAGAGCATATTAAAATACCTATCCCGTCTTTGGCTCATTGCTGGTGTAATTGAAATATAATGATGCTCTAACAGGGCTGGAAGAACACTTTCAATGTAATCAAATTGGCCTTTTCGTTTGCTACAATCTACATGGACAGGTTCTTTCCATGCAATCTCTGATGGTAGCTCTTTGACAACCTTGATGAATCCATTCAACTGTTGAATGAAGTAATCAACATCAAAGACATCTGCAAAACCACTGAGGTGAAACCAAAGAGTAAAATGAAGTTACTGTTTGCACAAACAAAAAATAAAAATGAAAAAGATGCTAACTCTTCTAATGAGTGGAGTAGCCATTTAGTCTTAGCAAGGGGTCATGACCAGAAACATCATAACGTTGTTTGGGTACAGCAAAATTTGTTTGGTTGCTTCAAAAAAAAAATATTAAAGGATGTCCTCATTCAAAATTTTGAGAATCACAGGAGGTTATATTCCAGACGTCACACGGTAAATGATATGTAAAACACGGATTACCTAGATTCGTTCCAATAAGCAGCCACCTCAAACTTTGGCAGAACCAGGGTTGCATTTAAAAGACGGGCAATACCAACACCATCACATAACTGCACTCCACATAAATAATTTTTCAGGCTTAGCAAAGTGGCAAAGTAAAATCGAGCATATATACAATCAATCAAAAAGTTGCTTCAATCACTCACATCTCTTCTCATCTGATTAAGGCCCCCATAGCAATCCACTCGAATGAATCCATTACTCCTTGATGGCAGAGCTGCAGAAAACCAATGCAATTGTCTGCAATGATAGTTAATTAAGATTGACTCAGAATATCAAAAAACTATGCAGTAACCTCACCTCAATTCCCATCAATCACAGTCAAATATCATAATTATTTGAAAATCTTGTCATGTCCACATTTTAACATAACAAACAAAACCCAAACAAAGTCCACAAAACCGTCATAGAGATACTACTTGCTAACTCTAGTTTCTCATTGTTAATCCAAGATTCTAAATAACCCAATGGCGGGCGGGCCGAACGAATCTATAGCTAGAAAAGCCAAAGGCAATGGAAGCAAAATAAGTTGGAATGTACCAGTGAGGTGTCCTTGTAGCCACCACTTGCAAGGTCTCCATTCTACCATCCTCCCAACACTCCATATATCCAATTTGCTCCTGCATTCACAAAGTCAATCAGAAACTCACACTTTTTGCAGTTTTTCGTCCCAAAGTAACCGCAAATCCACACTTCAAACTAGTCCCGAATCACAACGTAATTCTCATTTCTCAGATTTTAACAGCAACCCAACTCAGACACCATCAAAAACACCAAACCCCAGAAAAAAGAAAAAAAAAATCACCTGTTAATACCAAAATAAAAAATAAAAAAATGGAAGACCTTTGAATCTATTTCTTTCCCATATATATAATATGAAAACTCTTCAAGATCTAAAGTTTCCTGCTACTTCTTTACCAATAAAACCAGTCGAAAAATTAAAGATAAAAAAAGTAAAAGAATGGGAAGAATAAGTAGTTGCACAAGAGCTAACGAACACATACATGGGTGAATTGAGAAAGAGAGGGGTTCTGTAGAAGGGGGAAGTGGGGGACGATAAGAGGAGGACGGCGAGGACGAGAGAAAGAGTGAGGACTCCTACGATGAAGACGGGCTTCACTGAAATCGCCACCATCTCATTTCTCAGCTCTGCCGATTCGATTTGGATATCTCTTTAATGGCACTCAGAAATACGAGCGGAGAAGAAGAAGCAGCACTGTGGAATCTGCCTGTTTCATATTGTGCTATAAAATCGAGAGAGGATGTCAGTGACGGTGATTTGGAAGGTGGACCGGACCAGACCGGATTGCGCACCGGTTTTCTTTAATGTTTTTTATTCTTTATTTTTTTATGTTTTATTGTTTATTTATTTTAACAGGCGGTAGATTACTTTAATTTACACTAAGCTCCGTTCGGAATTACATTTTCTAAAAAACTGCTTTGCTTTTAAAGTGAAGCACGAAATTCTGTTTGGTAAATATTATAAGCCTACTTATTTTTAAAGGAAAATTAATAAAAAAAAACTTTAAAAATTTGGGATAAAATAAAAGGTAAAGTGAATAGTATCAGAATTGACTTTTTAGTGTACAAATATAGTTTTTCGTTAAAATGAACAGTACCGGAAATTTTTCGTTAACGTTCCATTTTTAGTTTAATCCTTTTTATAGTAGTTTTTAAAAGTAAGTTGCTTTTCAAAGCCACTTGAAAAGAAGCAAAGTAACAAAACACGGAAGGACTAACAAAAATTTCTCTGTACGAACTCAAGTTTTTGTTTTTATGGTTTTCATACTAAAGATTTATTTTTTTGTTGGTGTGCTATTTTTTCTCCCTTCGTGGTAATGTTTGTTCTATAAAATGACTCAAATAATAGTTATATCGCCAAAAAGTTTTGGATCAACGTGTCATATTTGCCTTAAAATTTCAATGAGATTTTTAACCGTTCTTGTCTAGCCACGTGTCATTATCCATTAATAATATTTGTCCAAATTTTTGATAAAATTCTCGACTATTCATGTAGTGTCATGTGTCCTTATCCAATCTTCTGATTTTCTCTATTTCTCCATAAAAACCCTTCAAATCACCACATCTACTCACACCACAATCTCTAATCGTGATCATGTTGACTATCATGCAACCAAGCCTCAAGCAAAGCAACGTCTTCCCCGATCCACCAAATTGCTTTCTTACTCATTTAAATAAAATAAAAAAGGATTTGGAAAGTGAAAACAAATATAAAGGAACGGGAATGTGCTGAATTTGACTGGATTCATAAGCAGAAGCAATCACCAAACTGTAACGAGCAACAAAAGCCTACTTTTCAGATAAAGACATCTGCTGTTGAAGTATAAGCTCCATCTCAAAGAATAGTTCCTTGATCCTGGTGTATTGGAGCACCTACAGTCTGAAATACTCCACAATCTAAGGAATGTCAAACACCCAAGATAGATTTAAGTTCTCACTACTCCAAAGAAGGTTATACAAAAAAATGGCTCGACAAATTAGTAAACATTCTCCTTCCACCTTAAGCAGACAATAACAAACAGACACAAAACAGCAAGTCATGTTAACTTGTACAGAAACTAGTAGCTCAACTTGTCGAATTGAGCAAACGCAATCAAACACGTATACAAACAAATTACACTAAATTTCAGTTATCTTCCAGTACGTAGTTAGGAACCTCAATGTTTCCATGATTCAGAATAATGTCCAACCAGATACATCGATATGGCACACAACACCCAGATATCTTCACACAGAGACTTATAAGTTCAATGGATAACGGATGGAAGCAGCGGAACTGTCATACCCATTCCCAAAGCAGAGAGTTCCACCTCATTGTACTGTTGCATATAACTCTGCAAATCAATAAGATGCCATACACATGCACCTTCAGATAGAGCCGCATAATCTTTTCAAGAGTTTTGCAATGATTATACCCAGGGGATTCAAATTATATACAAATGTTTAGGTAGCAAAATATCATGGAAGATTTGTAACTGCCAGCAGGCTGTAAGACTGACCACCAAAGCATAACAGCAACACTAGTTTACATACCAAGTAACAAAAGTTTCATTGAGCATGCCTATACAAATAGACATGCAAGAGAAAGATACCTATATTCACAGACAAATCGAGATGTGGTAGCGTGGGGACGGGACTACACCTTACAATTCATCCGATACTTGACCTTTGGTTCATCAGTCACTTTCAAAGTCACTCTCTACACTTCTCGATGCTACATAAGCTTTATTACCTCTCATCAAGTTTGCCAACTCTTGTATTGAGCAAGAAGTGCTTTGTTCCATCTTGCTTGCAAGTATCTCAACATGGTCGAGGAGCCCCAAGCCCCTAATCCGGTTACTCAGCATCTCAACAGTAGAAGAGTATGGCGGTATACCTTCATCGATCATTATCTCAAAGTATTTACAAGCGTCCTCTAGTTTACGTTTCTTCTTGCATAAGCCATGAATCATGACAGAGTACGTTGAAACAGAAGGATAAAATCCTCTCTTCCCCATACTCTCCCAAACTTCAGTTGCCCTATCAAATCTTCCTATCCTGATTAGCAACTTAAGCACCATATTGTAAGTATGTCGATCGGGCATGCAGTTGTCTTTTTCCATCCTAGATAACAGCCTGAGAGACCCATTAACCTCGCAGTGATCACAATGATAAGCCTGGATTGCATTGTAACTCCACGTATCCGGCATAACACCCCTCTCAATCATTTCATCCAAAAGTTGGTAAGCCTCTTCCACCTTTTCGTTCTTACACAATTTCTTGATAACACAATTGTAAGTATACACATTGGGCAAAAGATTATATCTCCCCATCCTATCAAGCACCCTAAAAACTGAATGAATATCATCCACCTCACAATAAGCACGAATGAAAATCGAATAGGTACATGCATCCGGTTCAACTCCATTCGACCCCATCTCCCGAAATATCTTATACGCCTCATCAACTTTCCCACCTTTACACAAAGCCTCCAAATAACTATTATACGCAGGCACATCAACCAAACATCCTCGTTCAGTCATTTCATCAAACAGCTTACGTGCTTCATCCGAATCACCAACGTCTCCCCAACCTCTCATCAAAATACTATAAGTTTTCGCATTCAACTGAAACCCACTCTTAACTTTATCAAAAAATTCATGAGCATACTTGACATGCTTTCTTTTACATAATGTGTAAAGAAGCTGATCAAGATCATGAACACTGGGCTTAATTCCAAACTCAACCATTCGATTTAAAGCTCGAATGGCGTCGCGAGGCAAATTAGCTCTACTATAAACCCGAAAAATAAGCCAGAAAATTTCCGGGCCAAAATCACAACACTTGGACTCTCTCACTTCTACGAGGAAATCCCACAACACAGCATATTGCTTGCTACTTCCTAAAATGTCAATCAAAATGTGATAGCTTTCAGCACTATGTCGAAAACCCGGAATTGTTTTAGCCCAAAGAAAGAACCTGTGTGCAGAAAGCCCGAGATTTTTGCAGCGTTTCAGAACTTGCTCAACCAATTCTATGGAGATTTGGGTAGACAGAGCGTTGAGGGAGAGTTCCAAGTCGTGGTGAGGGTTCCTGTGGTCGCTGAGAATGCGGGAGAACTCGCTTACCAGGTGCGGTGATGGCGGAGATGGCGAGTTGTGGTGGGTGAGAGAAGAGAAGGGGTGGCGGTGAGTGTTGGGTTTGGAGGGTGAGAGAAGAGAGTGGAAGATAGAGTGAAGGGTTTTGGGTTTAGAGGGGAGAGATCTCAGGGACATTTTGGTGAGTGGGTAAGGAAGAAGAAGAAGAAGAAGAAGAAGCAGCAGCAGCGTCACTGTGGATTTTGCTTGTCTTCGTGTTGCCGTTAGATCGAAAGACCGGATCGGATTGCACCCCCGGCTTTCTTTTAAGCTAAATTGCGATATCGGCGCTTTTGTTTGGAATATTTACACGGTTTCTACAGTTTCTACAGTTTTGTTTTTGCCAATTGTGACTGTTTTTGGAGTCCACTATGAACAAAAAGTAGAACCATTCATTATAGACCTTGTACTACTACTAGTTCTCATGTGATGTGTTTTGAGAGATCACCTCCACTATAGAGAATAACAATACGGTTACAAGAACTTTTGACTCTATACCCTTGTATTCTCTTTGTTATGCATGTGAATAATCAACCTCCAACAAGTCTATTTAGTGTATATAGACGGATGATTATATGCCTTATGAGTATATGATTCTTAAATCCTTTTAGAATAGGAAAAACCAGCACATTTCCTATTCCTAAAATGATTGGAATTACAAAGAAAAAAACTATTTCCCAATTCATGTGGGAAATAACATGTGCACACTCATTTTCTCCTTTCTCAACACTAATTGAAATCTTAAACCTATTTGGCCTTGATATCTGATGAGCCAGATCACAACAATCTCTGACATGGTGAGTCAAAACCAAGAAATGACTACTGCATCTCAAAATATCTTCAAACCTATTGAAGCAACTCTTAAAACTTCAAGAACTTTCACCTTGGCAAAATTATTCTTACCTCAACACACCTTAAGTGAGAAGGTGCTCAGTCCAATCTTTTGCATGTTGTAATTAAGCGAGTACAAGCAAAACTTGAACTTCTCTACAGTAACTAGTTTAGTCAAGTAATTTGAAACGTACTCCGCTATATGAACCTTCTCGATGTAACTTCCTTCAATTCCACCTAGTCCTTAATCCGGTGACAACAATCTTCAATATGATTTGATTTCCCATGAAACACTTGATTCTTTGCTAAGTAAATAGCACTATGACTGTCACATCTAATCACCATGGAATTTTACTAATTCTAAACTCTCTTGTTAAACCGTTACACCAAACTACTTCCCTTCTAGCTTCTGCTAGTGTAGTATACTCCGCTTCAGTAGTAGACAATGCTACAATTAACTGTCGGTCCTCCACCACAAACCATAACGTAACCTATAGTGGACCTTTTTTTGTCAAAGTCTCCTTCGTAGTTAGCATATACATAATCTAGCACACATGCTTCATTTTCTTGTTTTTCAAACAAGATTTCTAGACTCTTTGTACCTTTCAAGTAACGAAGAATCCATTTAACAGCAAACCAATGCTCCTTTTCGCCACATACTTTAAAACAATACTTAATCCTTGAGCTAGGTCAGGTCTTGTACATGTCATTGCATACATGAGGCATCCTACTGCACTTGCATAAGGCACTTTTCTATCTCTCCCAACTCTTTTTCTGTTGTTGGACATTTTCGCGCACTCAACTGATAATGTGCTGCTAATGGAGTAGACACGGGCTTCGCTCCGTCCATATTGAAATGCTCCAATATAATCTGAATATATTTTGTTTGTGACAACCATATCTTTCCCCTTCTGTCTCTCCTGATTTGCATTCCATTCTTTTGTGCAACCTCTAGATCCTTCATATCGAATTCCTTACTCAGTTGCATCTTTAATTCTTGAATTCTAGACATATCCCGAAATACAATCAATATTTCATCTACATAAAGTAGAAATGGTATAATAAATTATATAATGACTGAATTTCAAGTTCGATTTGAGAAAGATAATAGATTAATATAAAATATTGAGTTGGCGAGTCAAATGCTAACATGGACAAGTCAGAATATGATAAAAATTTGAAAACACATAAGATTTGAGTCAAAGAACATTGTAAACAAGGGATGAGATCCTAATTTTTTTTCTAAAAAAATAATATTATCCCTTGTATGTAGAACACCAATTGTTGTTGTCCATTAAACATTTGCATGCAATGTTCTAAAAATCAACCTAAGTGGCGCCTAAACGCTAAACAGTCGATTACCGCTGTGATTAACTCTCACATTACATGTATTTTACTCTTTTTAAAAACCAACATATTATTCAATGTTTTTATATGTTATGTAGTAATTTTAATTACTTTATATAATTTATAATAAAGTTATTTAAATCCGCCTAAACTTTAGGCCCCAAACTGGCAAGTATCAAGCGCCTTTTAAAACTTTATTGGGAGGCACAAATTGCTCGACTCATGCAACAATTCATGTAATTCAGATGGATCATAATTTCTGACCAAAAAATTGATTGATCATAAAACAAGCATTTATTTTACTAAAACCATTTTTTTTTTAAGCCAGTTTGGTCCGCAAGCCGATTTTATTGGCCACCACAGGAAATGCAATTCAATCAATCCAACCGTAATGCAAGTAAATCAAAGATTACCTGTTAATGCAGTTATTCTAGCTTGCTTATGCGTCTTTGATTAGATTTTAAAAAATACTAATCTCATTAACGAGCAGCTTAGCCTACAGATATAAAGCAATCAAACGGACAAATATCAACGAAAAGAGGTTATAGCATATAGAAAATGCCTTTTCCTTAACAATATCTATGCTTGAATAATATACTTTAGCAAAATTTACTTCCAGAACCAACTTTAGAGTACACAATTCAAGCCAAACACACTATTAGAGAAGCCCCGAACAAGGAACCTTTTTCAGCTTTGCTCCTCTGCAGCTGCAATCAACCTCTCCTCAGCTGCAGCGGCCATCAAGTCATCAAAGTCTTCCGACTTCCCAAGTACTATCTCAATCTAAAACCAAAAGAATAAATCAACATTAACAAAACAGAATACTTGGTAGGGGACAGGAAGAACAAGACTCCAATCTCTTGTCATGAATGTGGCCGTAAAGTGCTCTACAACTTGACCTAGAAGCCCTCACAATTAAGGTACTACTCTTCTGAAGAAGTCAGAAACCAAACTATAGGTCCTATACTAAATAGATACCAAGATACAATTTGAAAAAACGTTTTTGCTATAAGGTTATAAAGTAACTGAAAACAACCAGACAGAAGATATGAAATGACAACCCTATTGGTAGAATGAAACTCAAAATACACATAGAATGGACAAGTTTTTCCCTTAAATCTCACACAATGGCACACTGCCAACACATAAATACATGATCGATTACACAGTAAACATTCCTTGTTCAAATTAGCAATCACCAAAACAGTGCATCGACTTATAAGCCGCATAATTTTGCCTTTCATGCCACATATCTGCTTTTCTAAAAACCAATAGTCTGGCATGTACAGATAACAACTTTACCATGACAGATAGCCCAACAATATAAGTGCACACTGATGTTTATGAAAAACAAATCCAATAGGGCAACAATAAGTGCAAAAGGATCTCTCCACTCAACACTCCTTTCTTTCACTGCTATACATCTGACTTATTCTTTAAGAAGATCGAAATAGACATGTTTCAAATGGGATTCAAAACTCATTCTAGATATCATATTGACATACCTTGGCCTTTTGCACTGGTCTTCCCCTAGAATCATCCTTAATGTCAACAGTCGATGTCATGATTTCTGCATTCACATTCCATAATATAAGTAAATTTAATAATTTGATAGTTTCTTTTCTGAAAGGTGGAAAAGAAAAATAGAAGTCTCACTTTTCTCAACAGCCAGTCCATTGTTTTTCAGAATTTCTGCGATTGTGACAACTGTGGCAATAGCTGCAGTAGTACATGAGAAATTAGTCATTGCATCAGCATTAATACTAAACAAATCAAACATTTAGTCAAGAACTCCAACATCCATGATAAAAACATCTCCATTCTAAATATTGCAAAATAATGGGATGGGAAGGCAACATTTGGCCGGATTCATAATCCCCTGTTTCTGGAGTGGGTAGGGGAGTTGGAAATCACATTCTGCAACATAAACTCGAACTAAGAAGTAACCATTCTAGTTGGCATAGCTTTACTTCAGATAACTTGTTCACTAAACACTTCCATTTTTCCCTTGCAACTACCAACTAAATAGATTTACCAGAAGCCTTGTCTAGGTTCCCGATCAGAAGCAGTTTTGTTTCTAAGTATATGTTGAAATGGTAAAGAGTTATTTCCTTGATAACCATGGTATAAACATGAGCAAGGAAGCCTAAGCATAAGCAACCACCAAACTGGAACGAGCCAAAAGACTACTTTTCCAGATAAAGACATCTAGTGAAATATAAGCTCCACCTCAAAGGAAAGAATTCCTTCAACCTGGTGTATTGGAGCATGTACAATCTGAAAGAGTAGTCTAAGGAATGTCAAACACTCCAACGTTTCTATTCAACTTCTCGCTACTCGAAAGAAGGTTATTACTGACAGAATGGCTCAACAAATTAATAAACATTCTCTTTCCACCTTAACCAGACAGAAAAAATAGACAGAAAAAAAAGCAAATAATGTTGGATTGTACAGAAACTAATAGCTCGACTTGTCAAATGGAGTGAACCCAACCAACACTTATACAACCAAATTACGCTACATTCCAGTTATCTTCCACAACTTAATTAGGAACCTCAATGTTTCCATGATTTCAGAGTAATGTCCACAACCAGTACATTGATACATCACACAACACACAGATATCGACACAAACAGAGTTATAAGTTCAACAGCATAACGAGATGGAAACAGCTGAAATGTCATACCCATTCCCAAAGCAGAGAGCTCCACCTCATTGTACTGTTGCATATACCTCTGCAAATCAATAAAGTGCCATAAGCATATGATTTATAGAAATAAATCATTGAGAATATTGAACTATAATTCCAGAAAGCAAATTAGCCATACAAGCATATTGTAAACATAGATGTATATATTCATATGTAAATATCCGTATATAGGCAGAGAATTAGGAACAGGGTAGAGAATAGGGTTTACCTTGGCAAGATTTACATAGAAGAAGAGTGGCTTCTTGGTATTCGATACCTGAATTCGGTTCTTCTTGTGCGAATCGGAGGCATTGACGGTGATATTGTTCACGCCTTCAGTGATCTCCTCCATTGCAACTGAGTGAACAGCTTCAAAAAACCCTAACCCTAAATCCCCCTTCTGACTACTCTCTCTCTCTCTGGCTTCTCTTTCTACAATTGTTTTCTCTGTAAGGTTTGTTTGGGTTTCTCTTATATATGGGCCTAGATGGACCCAACTGTACACGGTCCGAAGAGATAAGGATGCAAGCATCCGTGGAATTAAGAAGTTTTTTTTTTTTTTTTTTTTTTTGAACAACGATATTATCTATTAAGGGTGAGAGGGGTTGAGTTTAGCCTCACAATGAGCTAGCAATAATATGGTTCAAATTCTCCTTTGGCC